TATATATATATATAATGTTGCAGACGACTCTCACTTTGATATTTTGTTATCTAATGCAATGGCATTCTGACATTTGTAAATGTGACTTAAGTGTCCAAATGCTGTGTTTAGATCAGCAAGTTTAACTTTTCTTTTGCTCTTTAGAAAACTAATATATGAGATGCATACGATCGTGTGGAAGGAAATTGTTTTATCTGACCTTTTGTCTGGAAAGGAAGCTAAAATTACCAGTTCTAAGTGTCAGTGTAGAGACAGAATACAATGTGTCAATGACATCAGAGGGGAAGTAGGTCTGTACAGTTGTTAGCATAGTGTTTGGTCTCACTAGATCTCTCTCTGTTCTTCACAATCAACCATTCTTCCACTGGTAACCCACAAAACGACGGCCCATCAGACAGTGTGGGAGGTTTTGGAACCCCCGTTGGGAAGACTTGGGTTCCCACCCTCTCTGAATCACCCCAGTGGTCGTATTCATGTCCAGGATGCTCACACGCCTCCAGTATTGATTAACACTTCATAGTCACTTCAAAAAGGCTGCTGCTATTAGCATTGCTCAAGCATTTTTGAACTATCAACAGTATTGGCAATAGGCAGAGAGCTGAAGCATAGAGCTGGAAGAAAGTCCTTGATGTAGAGTCTCTAAAGGTATTAGTAATAATCTTCAACAATTGTTAATATTTTAATGTTAGTTAGCAGAACAATAGTGTAGCTGTTTAAATGACTAGCGCAACTGCAACAACAACAACAGCAGTCACCACAAGGGGATTTTTGATGTATTACCTCATCTACACCCTTAATGACAAGAACATTACAGAGTTTTAGGTTCAGACGTGAGGTACCTGTAACCAAGCTGGTACCTAGCAGGCAAAGGTCAACATGTTCAGCAGAAATTGCTTTGCTATGACGCTCATAACTTTGCATCGATGACTGCCTGGTGAAATCTGACACATCAACAAGACCACCTGCAAAGGAAATAACTGTGCTCTTTCGTTATAGGTAAAGCTCCTGACTACAGTATGACTGAGAAGAGGCACTAACATCTGAGTAACTCCAGACGCCACGCACAGAAGGAGAACAGGTGCATCTTGAGCGAAACCAATCAGAAAGTCACACCTGGTGAAAATGGAGTCCGCTTTCTCACGGGTGGTGTGGGAACCTGAGGGAGAAGACGAAGAGCTCTCTCCAAGAGGTCTGGGATTGCGTCGCAAACGGGAATTCATACCTGAAGACAAGAAAGACGCAACCTACTGGGAGAAACGCCACAAGAACAATGAAGCGGCGAAGCGCTCGCGAGAGAAACGAAGGGTCAACGACTACGTGTTGGAGACTCGATTGGTTTCGTTGAGCGAGGAAAACGCTCGTCTGCGAGCTGAGCTGTTGGCTCTGAAGCTTCGATACGGTTTGCTTAACCCTGGGACGCCCTATTCCCCATCTCAAAGGGCTCTATCTCAGCTTCACGCTTTGGCGCCCCAACCTTTGCTTTCTTGCCCAGACAAAGACCTCTACTGGAGTAGATGGCAAGATAGAGAGGCTTCTCATCTATCGGGGAACCAACAAGCACCCCTCTGTCTTGGCACCCACCCCGGGTCGGCGTTCCTGCCTATGCATCCTACGGCCATACGAAGAAACCACCCATATCTCCTAGACTTCCCCACTCTCCATTCTTCTACAGCCTCACCTTTACTCTTTCCTCCACACCTCGCTCCAGCAGCTGCACCTTGGGCAGGACGGCCCCTGCTCCAGCCAGGGAATCAGAGGATCTTGTCGGACGAGGAGGGCGAGCAGCAGGTGCCAGCAGATTCCAGCACCGCCCTGCCCCATAAACTAAGATTGAAGACGCAAAACTCTCAGCGCAAAGATAACAGAGCTAAATCTGCATCTCCAAATCCAGCATACATATCAGATTGAAACCAAGCTTTGACTCAGTAGTCATGAGTCATCCTACTCATTTTTGATAATTGAACATTGGCTATATTCCAGGAAGTTTGTTGCAAACCATCATGATAAAAAATATTTCTTTGATCAAAAGGTCACATATTCAGATTAAGTTTCCGAGATACATTTATAGAGTCAATATTTCCATCATTGAGGTATAAAGTGGCAAACTTGAATTGGGATAATGACGCACATAGGTTTACTAATTTTTGTATTACCTTTAATATAGACAGGAAAGTAGGGAGTGAGAGAAAGAGAACAGGATTTTAGGAATAGAAAAAGGAATTGACCGAAGTTGGGCTAGAACCATTCACTCTGCCATAACTTTCACAATCACTTCTTTTGTGAATGCATTTATGTATACATTTACATTTATGTTTTTGGCAGATGCTTTTATCCAAAAGCGACTTACATTGCATTCAATATATACATTTTATCATTCATGCATTCCCTGGAAATTGAACCTTGGTGTTGCTATAGTCACGATCCACTGTTTAATCTAAAAGAATGCTACCTCCTTGTTTAATTCAGAATATAACCTATGTCTGATTTAATTTCGCCTCTGGAGTCAGACTGACATTTACACATTTGACAGATGCTTAAGCAACTTACATTGCATTTAAATTATACATTTGATCATTTCATGCGTTCCCCATTACTAATGCATTGTATTACTGATTTGAGCTACAGAATGGTTACTTTTGAGACCTCAAAGCAGCTATTAACTAAATTAATTAAAAGCAAAACAAAAGGCAGAACTGAAAAAGAAGTTGGACCTGTAAACATGCTAAAATATTGTTTGTATTATAATCCAAAGAACACTGTAAACTAATACTGATGGCATATCTTTGCAGTTACTTTCAATATGTGTGTCTGAGAGGCCGAAAACAGTAACGGTAACCACCAATCAGATGCATGCAAATGAGAACAAATGAGATTTTAGGGGAAATCACCACACCTCAAAGAGTCTGAAGAGGATATTTCTGGAATCCCTTGATCCAACTGGTGAAGGCAGCATATTTGTACTTTTATTTGACTTCCATTTTGTCTTGTCACGTGACATCTCAGTCATGTGACTTGTTTTATATAGCACCTGTGTTTGGAAAGGTGTTCATGCACAAAGTAAGGTCATCTGTGTCCTCTGTGGAAACAATTGCTTGCTTGCTACTCAAAAGTTAAAGCTGTGATCACACAATAAGTGACCTGTATTTTCTGAAAAAAATTTTTTTAAAGACTTTTCAAGAAATTCAAACTGCATATGAACCAGTGCAACACATGAACATACAGTGCCTTTGCAGAGTATACCTGCTGTAAACTAGTTTTAATTCAATCTCATGTTTTATTTTTAACTGCACAATATGTTTCTGAAAGAATTACACAGCGCTGATCTTTGATGATGATGAACTCTTTTTCAAGTTATAGCATACGGTTTTAGACAAATGCACAATCAAGGTCCGCTTTTATAGACAAGTATCTGAAATATGGACTGACTGCTCAACAAAACCAATGTCCACATCTCAGGATTTTTGCTTATTTTGCATACATGCATTTAGCAGACTTTTTTTATTTGCATCTTTTAGTCATGCATTATTGAACTTGTGATTATGGTGTTGCTAGTGTCATATGCTAACAGCTAAGCTACATGAGTACTTAAATTACATGTATTTGTATATGCTTTTTAAAAAATTTTGTCTGTTTTAATAAAGATTTACTTTTATTTCAGTCTTTTGTTCATCTGCATTAAGTTGTATGATCTTCAGAATGTTATCATTTTTACAATAAAGTGCAACTGAAAATCTCAGCTTTTTGACTATTATTTGATTGTTCACAACTTAGCACAGTTCAGTCACACAGAACACAGAGTTTATTATCATAATATGCAGTATTACTTTTATCTTGAAAGCGTTTTCGCCTCCACTTACGACTGTGGGACTGGAAGTGTGTGAGTTGTGCTGCTTGCTTTTGGTGACAGGTCGAAGAACTCCACGGGGCTGCTGCGGTTTGTAAGTGTGAAAGGGGGCTGCAAACAAAGTTTCAGTGGCATGTAGGGGTGGGAAAGGTGGAGTGGGGGTTTCTCAGCACTTATTAGTCACCGTTCATGATCAATCGTGATGTTAACAGCATATACGCCACAAAGTGAGGAGACCAAGCAACAATCTGCTAGTCACCACTAAAGGCAAGCGAGTGATTCAGTGACTTGCATAACAAGCCTAACTCAAAGAAATCTTGCATAACTATGAAAATGCTTCATTAGCCAAAGTTGCTTTTAGCATTCTTGTTGTTGAAAACTGGATTAGCATACATTTAGCTCTGACTTTAGTGTTAAATGTTGTTCATTTCTTCTTTTTCCTGCTGTAACCACCTGAGAGATGAAGGGAGCGAAGTACAACGAAGAAATAGGAAGTTAAAAATATATTGTCTTTGTCTTTTACATCTGTAAACCACATCCTCTAGCACAAGATCTAGTTGTTTTCTTGTGTTTATCATTTTTGAAAATCTATTTTAGCCAGTTCTTTGACCCAATATGATCTTCTGGTGTTAGCAGAAGCTACAAGCTAACAGACTCGCTAATCATGCTAATCTTAACAAATTACATGACACAGCTAAGTTTGGATTCTGACTGGTATTTTTGTACAATGATTGCTAAGCTATATATATCTGTGCAACCAATAGCAATGCTAATTGTCTCTTAGCACGTTTTCGTTTCACATATTAAAAATCCATATTTGAGTCTTTATCACTCTTTTCTATCATTCATCAAAGATATAAACGTCATATTGTATCAACAGACTAGTTTAAAAAAACTTAGCCTAGCTATGCTAACACTAACAGAAGTTATGCTGCATTCTTCAACACAGTCTTGATTCATTAATCACACTAATTATCATCTCTTTTCTGTGATTCACTAAAGATATAAACAGTGGCATTGTTATATTTGATCCAGACTGATTTAAAGAAACTTAGCTTAGCTATGCCAACTCTAACAGAAGAAATGATTGCTTAAAAAATATACACCACATTCTTAAACATCCTTCCTTAATGACAGTCTTGATTCATCAATCACACATTTTTCTTTCAGTTTGAGTCATTGCTTGCCATATGCACAGGCTTTGTGCAGTGATATCGTAGGTTAGCAAAAGCGCAAAATTATAGCATGAAGATGAATATTCCAGACAGCAACACTACTAGCCAATTTGTAGGCGTAACAATGATTCAGTACTTCCATCACAAATCCATCAATCACTACAACAATGTGCAGTGCATATTAAAAATGGAAACCTAATGGAAAAGACTTTGAAAACACAATACCTGCACAGATCATTATCTGGTTTTGTACAGAGTGCTAATCTCTGGTAAATGCATAATATTGCATTGATAGAGATTGTGCATCTTTGGTGTGAAAGTGAAACACAACACTTCTCTTTTTCAGTTTATTCATAGACTGTTTAGAACAAAATACCTGGCCACAGGCGACTAGATCTACAACATCATCAAGACATCAAAACCACTCCCATTTTGTATTACGATTACACTTATTTTCTTTTTGTTTATATGTAAATAAGAGGGTTGTTGTGTGAAAATGCTGTACTTACCTGTGATATTGTTAATTTAGAGGCATGGTCAAAAGGTCATCTGATTAAATATTTTACTTTTGTTTTGAATAGCTTTTTTTTTTATAAGTACACCATTATTTGCCTTCATGTCTGTGCTTTTTACATCCTGCAGCAAACACAACTTTGTTTTGTTTTATAAAGCAGATGGTATGAGTAGAAAAGTGTCATGACAAGAAAATATTTGACATTTTCTTGTGCACACATGACTGTACCAGATGCTTATGGCCAACAATTGCTCAGCTGTCATGTCATTTCATTTAAAGTTTGTGGGACCAAATCGAACTATGCTGACAAGCGGCTGTCTTTATTGAAACTTTTTAGGAAAAAACTGTTTATAGAATCAGGGCTGGTGTTTGTAAGTTGGTTGGTACCTATGTAAACCTGAAGATGAATGTTCATCTGGCATTATTCGCCTGCTATTCTCCTCTGATTGGGTTTTATTGTTCTGGTTTTAAAATAAAAAGTGAACTGTCAGTTTTTCAAAAAAAAAAAAAAAAAATGCTGTGATGTTTATTTTGAACATCATCTTGGCATTTGCAAAAATAAAAAATAAAGTTGAGAACCATTAAAGGTTATATATGCATCGTATTACATAAATCAGTCAAAAACATTCATATATAATATTACTTTATAATGACATGAAAAATCAGAAAAAGAAGAAATTACAACTCAGGGACTTAGATACATGCTTTTATAAACAGCATTTTTTTTTTCATTGGTACAATATAAGAACAATATGCTTAACATATTTAAGAATAAAACTATCCAGAACATAAAAATGCTGTGGATACCCATTTATTTAATTTACATTGAATAAAACTGCAAAATGACTTTTTACAAAAAATATCAAAAAGCTTCTTTTAATCAGTTTTACAGTAGTTATTGACAAATTCTGGCAGTTTGCAATGTACATACAATGCTGCTTAAAATACGACAGTACAGGGCGCAATTGATCTGTTCAAACAAAACAGCTCATAATCTAATTAATTTAAGCTTTGTGTTAAATAGATATTGACTGGTAGAAGGCAATAAGGTTGTGACTGATACCCTGTGTTCTTTGAACTGTCGTATTTTAACATTAGGGGGCAGCAGAACAGCTTTGTAAAGTGCCTTCCTGTTTCATTTTAAGCGGCAGCACTTGAGCAAGGTCTAACTCATCATAAATGCTATTTAAAAACAGACAATGCACGCATAAGAACTCCTGGATGGATCAAAGGATCAGTGGCCTGTGCATAAAAAGCTATATTTGACTGTATACTCATGCAAATGAGCATAAAATAAGTTATGAGACTGACATTCCCTTTTAAACACACTTACACTTACATAGAAGAGGTGTAAAGACATACAACAACTGAAAGTCACCTGTAATAAAATGCTAAGAAAGTTTTTGTTTTGTTTAAAACAGTAACTCTTTAAGAGTTTTCACACATTATTAAGAACATTTTATATTGAATAAAAGTATTTCACATTAATTTACTTAACATGAGAACAGGGCACCATAATGAACACACAAAACAGCCATATATATACAATAAAATACAAAATGTCTTAAACCCAGTCTAGATACTGAGGCTATTGGTATTTAGCTGATAAATATGTAATGTTTTTATAAAGGCGATGTGCTTTTAAATTGTTACTACTGTACCTTTGTA